CTGATAAATGAATTTTTATGTTAAGTTTTAAAGATTGCGGTGAGGAGATTGTGTAAATCATATTTGGTTAAAGGTATTTGAATCTTGCCCCTTCAAACATTTTTTTTTTATCAAAGCCAGGCATGGTGGATATACCTGTAATCCCACAGCATTTGGTAAATGGAAACAGGATGACCAGCAGTTCAGGGTAAGCCTCAACTCCAGAGCCAGTTTGAAAACAATCTAGGCTATATAAGAATTTATCTCAAAAGTATTTGTAATCAAATGATCATAAAACATAGATCAACAGATGCAATTTAATAAAGGTATTTCAATGTTTTTCCAGCCATAAAACTCTGTGGAGATAATACAGAATCCTCACACTTCCATTTCTGCAACAAACTATCATTTACTCAAAACAAAATACATAATCAACAATTACATCTATGTTGGAATTTATCAATATTTGTTAATCCTATGTATTAAAGCATTATAAATGAGTACATGAGAATGTAATATAACCAACTGAGCTAACTGGCTGGCCCTGCCCTTCACTGACCCAGGGAGGGCCAGGCCCCCCTCACCAGAGGACTGACCCTTCCCCTGCTGGCCTGGCCCCTGATAGGAGAGCTGCCCATCCCCAAACTTTGGCAAAGATAGCCCCACTCATCACCACCACAGGTATGAGAGAGCTGGATTAGCTCCTCCCCAGAGGGGGGTGGTCTCAATGATCACAACAGCCTGGACTGACCAACTCAGCTACCACCCAGGGACACATCCAGGGCTTTGAGTAGGCACTCCCCAACATCTACCCCATTTATGACCTGCTGGAGCCTAAAAGGGATTGGTCATGTGGAAACAGCCATAAAATCTCCATGATTCCTGGCAACAGCAAGATATCTGAAAAGAATATCAGTGAGGGTCCAGTGATGATGGTTTTACCAGAAGCCTGAGACCTTGAACCTGACCAGCAACACACTACACAATGAACATTTGCAAGTGAAGTTGTTTGGACAAAAGACACCACAGCTCCCAATGCCACCAAGATGAATGAAGAGTTGATAGAGAGGCAGAAAATATGGAAGAGCAAAGTGGTTTTTGTTGTTGTTTTGTTTCAATGTTTGCTTTTAATTTGTTTTTCTTTGTTTCATATTCTTATTTGTGTTTTTATTTATATTATTTCTTGTTGATTTTTATTTCTGTTAGTTTAATAATATTCTTATGGGTGTATTTTTATTAATTCTTTTTAAGTTTTCCTTTGTTGGGGATACTACAGAATGAAGGGTGAATACTGAGAAAATGGGAAATGAGTGAGACTGGGGTGCATGATGTGAAATTCTCAAAGAATCAATAAAAACTTACATTTTAAAAAAAGAATGCAATCTAAGATCAAGAGTTAGCATGTATTACATACGAGCAGAGAAAAATAAGGACTCTACCCTCTGACCCCTAGAAACTGATCCCTAGAAGCCCTTGAGAAGTAAGAGTGAACTGGATGTTCTCTTCACATCCTTGTCCCATACCTTGACAACCTGGGGGATGACCACTTTTCCTGAAAGGTCTACACTGCTACTGTCTTCCAGCACAGCATCCTTGGTCACTTCAAAGGCCTCTGTCACCACATACAGGTCCTTTATTCCCATCCTGCAGTCCTTCACAAATGGTGGCTCCCAATCCAGAAGATTCCTGAAGGTGTAAAATGAGAACGAAAAAAATCCAAATGGCTAATTTCATAGAAGCAGAGACCAAATCGTGAGAGAGAGAAAAAAATCCAAAACAGAAAATATGAGCCAGCCTTTAGGAGCTAAAGAGATTGAGTCGCTTCGGGATGGAAGATGGCTCAATCTATAAAGTGATGGCCAGGCAAGCATGAGGATATCAATCAGGTTACTCGGGAGCCACATTACAGCCCAATGTGGTTACAGTTGACTATATGCTACCTGTGCTTGAACTCTGCTAAGACAGTAGACAGTAAATGTTCTTGTCATAACAATAACAGTTCCTGAGCTGGCAGGACGGCTCAGTGCATAGAGGTGGTTGCTGACCTGAGTTTGATTCCCAGACACACAGCAAAGGGAGAGATCTGACTCCTGTAAGTTGTCCTCTGACTTCCACATTTGAGCCACGGCATGAGGGTGTGCATGAACACACACACACACACACACACACACACACACACACA